TCTGACCATTTCCTCCAGTATGCCTGCTGTCTGACCATTTCCTCCAGTATGCCTGCTGTCTGACCATTTCCTCCAGTATGCCTGCTGTCTGACCATTTCCTCCAGTATGCCTGCTGTCTGACCATTTCCTCCAGTATGCCTGCTGTCTGACCATTTCCTCTAGTATGACTGCACTCTCTGACCATTTCCTCTAGCAAGTCTGCAGTCTCTGACCATTTCCTCGCAACTTCCTTTTGCCTCCCCTCCCCTGAACGAAGTTCTCCCCCCTGCCCTCCACAAATCTATACTTACTGAGATTTGAGGGCCACTGCTCTGCTGTTTGTTGACATCCAGCACTGCAAGCATCCCTCTGCTGGTAGTGTCCATCTCCCAGGCAGGAGATGAGCCCATAGAAGTCTACGGGGCTCTAATGTGCAGGTGTGGCCAGCAGAAGCAGCATTACACTGGAATGTAAACAATAGAGGAACTGTGCCCGTCGGATCTTGAGAAGTACGGATTTAGGGGGGAAGGGAGAACGTTTAGGTCTGGGGTGGGCGGCAAATAGGATATGATAACTTTGTTTCAAAGTGCACTTATTCTTCAAGAGAGAGATATAACATAAGCAAGAAATCTGCTCTGTGTAAAAGATTAAAAGATGCTTTTCTATAGAGGGACTGCAGAAAAGAGATGACCAGTTCACACCTTTATCTTTCTTTCCAATGGAAAAGCAGCCCGGCACTAGTGCAAATGCCATGTTTATGCCCATTGAACTACGATGACTCACAGCAAAGCAGGAGAAAAAAGTAATGATTGATGCTCAATGGAAGCTGAGATTGTTCTCCTGGTACAGTCCTGCTCTAAAGAAAATGTTCAAATGTATGTTTCCTGAGTCATAAGAACGCCATACAAATGCTAAGTTCTTTCACATAAAAGATTTCAGTCTTTCAAAAACTGTAATATGTCATACGGCCATAAATACGGGGATGCAAGGAGCACTCACTGGTTTTCTTTATTACAATAATCTGCTATTTTATTGTATTAGAGCGACGTCTATTTATTGATCCCCTTCATCATTGGTATGCTTTGCCTGATGAAGGGGATCCTTTGTGACACCGAAACGTTCGTTGCTATTTTTTGCTGTGCTGCACGTCAATAAATAGACGTTTGCTTGCCAATTTGGTGTGCCGGTGTCTCTGTTTCTGCTTATAATATAAAGGGAGGACGTGTAGGAAATGGCTGCACACACTATCAGTGTCATTACCTTACAAGTCCCTGGCTCTGTGCAGGGCTGTCAGTCCGTCCACTCGGCCATCACCCCCCCCCCCCCCCCCCCCCACCCCCCCCCCCTCT